ATAAAAAAAAACTTGTCGGTGAAATGAGCTTCGGTGAAATAGACTGTCGGTAAAATGAACTTGTCGATGAATAATTGCCTGTGAAATGTGGTGTCTATGAAGTGATTGTCGGTGAAACAATACGGACCCCTGGTTCGCTATATCCCGATTTCTGTATAGGCAGGTTCGGTATCGTCTGTAGTGATCTCCAATCCTATTGTTATAAGGTCTAATCCACTTGGCATTTTCATTTGTTAGATGCGAGCACAGGCACCTTTCCATGAAGCGCAAAACAAAGTTTATTTACTAGAAGTATCTCAAGTGGCTAAAACTCATGCAATTAAAGGATCGTTGCCAAATGTCGGGTTGGAATTCATTAAAGCTGGGCCAACACTAACCATTCACGTCTATAGCAAATTTATCAACTAGTATTTTTTACTTAACGAATGTGCTATCAGACCCAGCCGACTGTAATTCTGATGGATTTCGATCTAGAATTTGGAGGATCTTTAAGTTCGTAACGATAATCGTAAGGATTTACCTCTCGCTGAGAATGGATCAGTCCGGCCCAATCCTAGCCCCAATAAGACATTTTTTGGCCCGGTCTTTAATGATCTAGAAATATGACCGACCATCTTATTGGCTAGTGTATCATTGATCGAATGAATGTTTTTTTTTAGACACTGTAGATTTTAGTTGGTCATTTTTGGCTATCGCTATATACTTATGAAGACGTCCGGACTGATCTCAAGGCCGAGACCAAGTGACCGAGGTGGCCACTGGATTTTTCTAAAAATTTATTTTGCTACTCGATTAGTATATACTATAGTATGGATTGATCTTGCATCTATACTAGAGTTGCGGGAAGATTGGCGTTAGTTTTACTAGTTGAAACTGGTAAAACATGATGTGAATTGGTAAAACTGGTAATTTTATGATACTACTGTAGTAATACTAGTAATACTAGTAATATTAGTATACATATACCGGTACATTTATTAAAATATAGCGATAGTTTTGATGTGAAATATAACTCCTCAAATTCAATATGCTGTACACGTCACTCTGGTTATATCGACATTTTTGGTAAAAAATTTAAAATGTCGGTACAGTGAGTCAGGGACACGGAAAAAATGCGATTTTATTTAAAGGATTTGAAATTCCTATAAATAAAATCGCACTTTTTCCGTGTCCCTGCAGTGAGTTATACCGACATTTTATATTAAATTTTCGAAAAAAAAAAAGTCGGTATAGAAAGATTTTACTATGATATCGTTATAACCAGAGTGACGTGTAATATTTCTTATATGGTACGTTACAGTTATACCCATATGTAACTATATACAGTCATACCACCTTCTAGCTAATCACATCATAAAAAACTAATAATCACATCTATATTTAAGCCTAATTACTATTTTTAATATATACTGTGTATAAAAAAACCTCTAGATAAGCATATTCTTTAAAGAAGTTATTTATGATGATTATAAAGAGGTATGACTATATAAAATTTAGAACTTCATGTTAAAAACATACAAATTGGCCTGTCAATTAAGACCATATCCACTGCAATTAGTGATGAATAATGTAAGTAATGTATGTTCATCAGAGCGAGACCCAAATATCAATGAAATCTTGAATCTAAACTCATGTGATTATTCTTTTTATTTTAATATTGGAAAAATTTAAAAGTCTAAATGGGTGTCCGGACCTCTGGTATTACGGTTTATGTATTATAGCGCTAAAAATGTTGTATCACTTCTCATTGATCTAAATCCATTTTGAGTACGTCGCTTACGCACTATATCTTTGATGATATAAGTATATTTGATGTTACACAATGAAATATGACTCAATATATACAACATATACAAAAAAGAACTTTTTTATAAAAATCTTACGCGTGAATTATTTATAAGAAATTGATCAGCCAATTTGAAAAAAAATCAACCGGTTTAAGCTGAAAATTAGCTTTTAGCCGATTTTTTTTTTCATTATTGGCTAGGAACATTAATCATTCTCTTCTTCCGAACTTTCAGATCTTACGGAATATAGTTGAAGTCGTCTCACCTGAGAACTTATTTTCGTTGTGTGGTTTGGAAAAGGTGACTTTGATATAGAATACAGTTGAAGTCGTCTCCGAACTCTCGTTTGCGTATTTAAATTATCAATGCTCTCTTTATTATTTTCATTCGCGACTTTGTTTTTAGACGAGGAATCCAGTAACCAAACATTATCATCGTCCGCATCTTCTATAGGCGCGTTTGTAAAGTGCATTCCGTACGTCGTTCCAAGTTTATGCTCCTCGTAGTTTTGAATGACTCCTCGGTCAATAACAACTGTTTGAGATCTTAAATCAATCTCGTCTGTTTCGTTGTTAGACACGTTTTGATAGCGTTTAATTATGTTAGCCCAGGCAGCTTTAAGGCGACGTTCACTTTCATTTCTAAGGCATTCTGTGTCTTCTTGACTTAAATCTTTAAACTTGGTAGCACCTTTGGTTGACATTTCAGGTTTGAGGTCCCTTGACGTAGGCCTAAGGGGTTTACAATTTTATCCTAGACCGGGGTAGCTCGAAATATGATTGGTTAAATAATACTTAGAAAAAACTAGTTCGTGTTATAAAAATATTTATCGTTATAAAGTTTATTAATAAATTAATACAGTAATAAATCCTTTTGTCATGTGAATGTGATGATCTGCACACTCGAGTAACATATATCGTTACTTTTCCTTAATTTAATAGGCTTCTAATCTTTGTATTATTTCAATATATTAGTGTGTAATCGGTATCAGTTGATTTCGTTTATTTGTTATTCTTTTTTATAGTTATCGTTATAGGATCTTCGGAGTTAACCACGGAAGTTAAATTCCTAATGATTATTCTTGTGTTCAGATTATTCATCAGAATTAACGTTTAACATTTTATACATAATAACATTCGAGAATAAACTCAACGCCAGCTATTCGTCATCAAAATAACATGTGAGCTAAATACGTACGTACGCACATACGTATGTGTATATACGTAGGTCAATATAAGCCTCGATTACTTGGCCAATTTTTCCTTTGAATACTTCTTTTGGAAGTATTTGCTATTGTACACACATAACTAAAATTCTTTATAAAAGCTACCATTTTTAACTGATTTTCCTTTACTATCTGGATCCTTTCTTGCGTATTTTTACTTTCTGTTATCTTTATTTCGTTTTTTTATTATTCTCTTTTCTTTTGTATATATATATTTATATAACGAAAACTTAAAAAAAAAAAAAAAAAACTTATAACTTTGCAATGGATTCCACTTTGGTTATTTTCAAGGTGATATGTTCTAACGAACCCGCAGTATTGCGTCGCCTTACATTTCCAAAGATAGCTGACATTTCCTATCAAGCTTTATACTCAAAGGTATTGTAAGCCTGTAGAAAGTTTGCTGTGCATATTAATATTATGGAATTATAAAGTTCACCGTTCGTTCTCTTATATAAATCAATTACAAATGTTTGTCATATCTAGTTGTCACAACTTCAAAAGACTAATAGCTTCAAAATTCGGTATACGGATGAGGACGGTGATGCCATTACTATTGACAATGACCTTGACTTACGAGAAGCTATAGAACATAATAAGTCTCTTTCTAAGGATAGCTCTCGTCTTGTTATCAAGTTGATTTTGGAAGAAGTAAAACCTTCCCCTATCAATAAGGAACTTCCGGAGTTACCAAAACATATTTCTCTCGATAGTGATCCAGGTATGTTATTAAACTTTATGTGCATTGTAGTTTTATTACATCTATTTATCGTTGGAGGTCTCATTCCCGGTTTGTTTTTTTAAGACAAAGTACCAACCTCCAACGAAAAAAATGCAATCTACAATGATTTCCATGAATATCTGTTCGAAAGTGTACTAAACCCGGGAATCAAAAATTTACAAGACATAGTACAGAACATTGTTACTCAAGTTGGCAGTACTCTCGAAAGAGAGTTTGTTAGAGATTCATTAAATCTAAATTTAAATAAATCCATGAAATCTCAATCTCCAGAATTTATTATTGATCCCACTGAAGATACTAAGGACACTACCAAATCGTCAAGTTCATCATCGACTAGTGAAACTCGTCAAGTACAAACGCAAGAATCACACATATCTTCAGGTAATTAATTTGTTTTTAAAGATTTTCTTGATTTCTCTCTGAATATTTATTCTATATTTACCTTTTATTGATTATGTAACAGATCCCGTTGTTCATGAGGACGTTATGTGTGATTGCTGTGAACAGATTATTCGTGGTGTGCGCTTGAAATGCGATGACTGTCCAAACTATGATCTCTGTCAAACTTGCAAAAACAAATCTCCGAGTATCCACGCAAATCATACTTTCATACCCATTCCTTATCCTGTAAAGAATCGCCATCGTCCTCCTCGTGTATCTGCAAATATTGGTAAAGTTGGTAAGTTTATAAAGCGTAATCTAATTATTACCTATTACCTAAATTTTCTTTCACTTTATAACTTTTGTATTTCTTTAATTAATCAACCAGGATCGAACTATCACTCTGCCACTTGTGATTATTGTGAGTCAGTAATCATAGGCATTCGTCATAAATGCATCAATTGTCCAGACTTTGATTTGTGTAACAATTGTATCGGTACGTAGATCAATAATTTCAGGATTATTTTGAGAATTAGATACTACTGAGACTAGTCACAGCATCATTGGTAGCAATTATTTACCCCATTTCTTTATCTTACTTTTTTTTAGCTCTTGCTCCAACTCAACATCCGGGTCATACTTTCATGAAAATTCACAGAGCCGGTGATCCTGACGTTAAAATTCCAGGTATTGTTATTGGAATTTATTATCTGCGATTATTATTTCGTAGTAATTTTTGACTTTTTGATTAACAATAAATGGTGCAATTCTATTTTTCTTTTATTTTCTCTTACAGATTCTGCATTCCACCCTGGCATTAGATGTGACGGTTGTAGAAAAGCTATTCATGGTGTCAGATATAAGGTATTAAAAAAAACTTAAATATTATATTTGTTATTAATTATTGTTAAATGATAAAATATTCTGATAAGCTATACTTTATCATTTTATCATTTTTATCGCTTTTATTAGTGTGGTAACTGCCTTGATTTTGATTTGTGCGGAAATTGTGAGGCGAATCCCATCAGCAAGCATGATGAGAATCACGTTTTTATAAAGATCAAAAAACCCGTGTCACAGCGACTTCGAACAGATGCACCATTATTGCATGACTTTTACTCAAAAGTTGAACAAAAGACCGGTCGTTCTAAAGACTGCAAACAACAACCTCAATCAAATAATGTTCATAAAGAGATGGAATCCGTACCAAGACAAACATCCTTGGTCAATTCTAATTCTGATGCATCGAACTCAAACCCTTTCATTCCTTTAACCAGACCCATTGGTAGTGAAGACACTACGTAAGTTCTTTTTGCAATAATTTATATTATTTATTACAAATAAACATTTTCTAATTTATTTATTCATTTATTCAGTAGTGAAAAGGTAATCAGTCGTGCACCAATCGATTTATATAACTATCCTTTAGGAGCTAAACCAACTGTCTCATCCTCGTCCCACGAAAAGCTTGCGAAAGAAACAATTCAAACCCAGGCTTCCCCAGTCACTCCTTATTCACCTTTACCTTTATCAAATGTAACTACTATTACCTCTCAAGATGAAGCTTGTGATGTTCCATTTAAGATTTCTGAAGAAATCACTACTGAAAAGAGATTAAGTGCCAGATTTGTTAGCGATGTTAATGTTCCTGATGGCACTACTTTAGTCCCTCAAGCTCAATTCCGTAAGGTGTGGGCCATGTCTAATGATGGTGATATTGTCGTAAGTTTTTAATAATTTAAAATAATCTAGTTTTTCTATTTTACACTTATAATTAATCAAATTTATTTCTTTAGTGGCCTGAAAATACTATGGTACGATTCGTTGGTGGTCATCGCATGTTCAATGACTCGTTACGATCCGATCAAAATGGCGATTATGGTTCCATAGTTGGTTCATTAGAACCTGGCAAAAACGTTTATGTTTCTGTAGATCTTCAAGCTCCTGCTGAACCTGGAAAATATATCTCGTAAGTTTCATATATTTAATTTTTATTTTCGCGTTTATTTTAAGTTTTAAGTTCTTTTAATTAATTGATTATTGTAAATAAATTTAGATTTTGGCGTTTAACTGATAATGAAGGAAATCTATTTGGACATAAGATTTGGTGTGAAATTAAGGTTGAAGCTGATGACCAATCATCAAGCATGTCATCTTCAATGATTTTCCCCGTTTTGAATTATGATCAAAAATCAACTCAATCTGCAGCCAGTTCCGTTCAATCACCAGTTTCTACTAGTGAAGATGATAAAGTCATTGTTTCATCCCAAAATTCCGTAAAATCTACTGCTACTGAATTACAAACCGAGATTGTAGATCTCGAAAGTATTTCAGAATTAAACTCTGAACTTTCTGATGATGATGATGATGAATCCGATACATCATCTATCGTTTCAGATTCTTCTCAAGACTTTATTGTTGTTGATAAAGATTCTGATGATGATGATGATGATGAGTTGGAAAATAGTCTTATAAATTCTGAGGTGAGGCCCTCGATCACTAGTTCAATTGTTACGTCATCCTATGGAGATAACACTACTGTTTCTGATGGTTTTAAAGATGAACCGACTAAAGAAATAATGTATCAAGAAGAAATTTCTAAATTAGCCGATATGGTAAGTTTAAAAATCTAGTTGTTATTTATTCATGAGTTTATAAATCATTAATGCGACTCTTTAATTATTAATACAATTAGGGTTTCACTGATACCGAAATGACATACAATCTTTTACTTGCTTTTGATGGTAATATTGATAAAGTGATCGATTCATTTATGCAATGGGAATAATTGTATTTTTTTTCACAATCATTCTTGTACCTGTGTTCTTATATTATGTATTATCTAAATAAATTGATGAAACGTTCTTAACGTTAAATTATCTAGTGTATTTTTGTTTGTTTTAGCCTAACTAAATTTTAAAATTCTATTAGACCATATAAAATATAACTTCCGGTTATAATATCGAAACACACAAAAAATTAGGCTTTTTTTTTTTTTTTTTGACATATAGCTCAAAATTATACGTACTAAATACATTTATTTTTTTAAATTTTATAAAAAGTGCTTTTTTAAAAATATACATTTGTACGCGTATATAATAAAAAAAAACCAAATTATCTGACTTTTTAATTTCTTTACAACTACAGAACTAGTTTGCTCAAATTTTAATTATAATATTTATTATATGCACTTGCGTAGTATAAGCAGTGATTGAAATCATGTTCACGGTGTTAAATTCTTTAAAAAATGTTCAGATTTGTTAACTTTATCTAATTAAAATTTTATCATTTATTTATTTTTTTAACCTGAAAGAATATGTTGATCGATTTTACCAAAGAGGAAATATGTTCTTGAATACTGCATTACAAAAAAAAAAGATCGTTACGTACGGTACGGTATATCGATATACTTTAACTGTTAAATTTTTTTTAGGTTGTGTAACCAACGTAAAAATTAAAAACGCGTTTACGCGTACCTGCATCTTCATAATCCATATTGTTTTCTTTAGACTTCTTTGAATCTTAAAAAAAAAGACCAAATACACAAGAAAAAGAAAATCTACGGTAGGATATTAAAATCTTCGAAGGTTGTTTTTTGTGAGGTTGCTTTTACGAGAAAAACGCACATCGGATAAGCTATTAAGATAGCATATTTTAGGCCACAAATTTTTTGTGAGGTTGCGCGTAAAAGCACGTCAGACCCGGTCTTAGGCCACAAAAAATGACTTCAAGGTTTTTTCTTGGTTATAAGGTCTACTAATATTCTGTTGGAGAAATTAGTTATGAACCTTCCTTATCATCAAGAAAGATAAAATTTTACTACTTAATATATACTGTATTATTAACTTTTTTTTTTTTTTGTACGTACATACTATAGAACGAACGAAAAATTGAAGAAATAAAAAAAAAAACGATCGAAAACATAAATCAATTAGCCGATCTGGTTAGTTTTTAATTTTTAATCTACAAAATATATATATACGAATTTTAATTTATTTTTAATTTAGGCAAAACGATTAAGTGCGTAGTTAGTAAAATTTCACAAAAAACAAAAATCGTCATACTGTCTTTTGAATCCAACACTGGGTATAAGTCCATATTGTATATTAGTTGCGAAAAATATATTATTTATTAAAATAATTTTTTCTTGTTTTTAAATTAAACAAATTATACAGTATATAACTGATAACGGATAATTAATTATTAAAATAAAACAATAAAATAATATTAATATCAAAAAATTTTAGATAATTAAAAATTTAAAAACTTGAAGCCTTATATTACTATATATATGATATTTATATATACGTTGCTTCTTAAAAAAAATAACAATAAATCAAATAAAATGCAAATACATAAATAGCGATTTTCTGCGTTCATGTTGTCTCGATAACGAATTCAAGATTCAAAATTTCGCAAATTTTAAAATCATAAAAAACGATTACATCAGTGATGGATAACTATATGAGTAAAAACGAAAAAAAATAATAAAGATAAATACAAGAAACTTACCAAACTTTCTATTTCAACCTATCAAACTTTATATATGTGTGCCTCAAAGGCATTAAAAAAAATTATCATCATAGCGGTCAAGACGTGACTGCTCAGATTTATCTTCTCTAATTATTATTTTTTTTTGTTTCAATTCGGAAGGTGAGAAAGAGAAAGAAGACAAAACACACCTCCCCCACCCCTCTTGTTGGTCCGTCAAAAGAGAGATAAGAGAAAAGACGGGCTATTTGGATAACGCTGCCAAAGCGAACACATTGTAACTCGACGAAGATAGCTGTTTCATAACTGGCATACCTTCGGAGTAAAACTCGACGAGGACGGCTATTAGCACATCTTCGGAGTGAAACAGTATAAAGACTGTTGTTCTAAAAAAAACTCGCGTACTGTATATTAATATCAGATTTCTGTGTAACAACAACACCAAAAATTATCCAATAGGATGATGATCTGGTACCAGGGGAGACCGTCCCGGAAATCATCGGAAAAACGTTACACAATTCATTAAAGATTATTTATACAGTTTACAATACTTTGAAACATGACTTAAGTTATTAAGCAAACTTGTGGCTTTCGTATTGTGCTTTAAGAAAGTCGTTTGATTCAAGTTGATTCACCAGATATTTATATTATTATTTACATATTAGATAATTAGTAATACATTAGATAAATCAAATATAAATATCCGGTGAATCAACATGAATCAATCGACTTTCTTAAAGCACAATACGAAAGCCACAAGTTTGCTTAATAACTTAAGTCACGTTTCATAATGCAAATAAATCACGATGGTTTCACCTGGAACCGTATCTGGATATGTAGAAACGTGATCATCAAAAAATTCGATAAGGACCTTAAGTATAGTAAATATACCGAAAGTATAACTTTTGCGGTTTAAAGTATACGGTATTATATTTTTTATGCCATTTATTTATGTTTTATACATTATTAACTGTACGTTGAGATCAAATTATATATTTTATAAAAAGAGATTGAAATTCTTATTCGGCAAATTGCTCTATACTGTAGCCTTTTTAAAACGACTGAACTGTAATGCATTTGAAAGCAAATCTGTTAATGGACGTCGCAAATCCCTTATTATACAAGAATATAATGGTTTCCGTATTAAATTTCTTCATGATTCATTAAATACAACTATCGAAACCACTAAAGATCGTTATTGGGACAAAGATATTAATTGAATCTGTAATGCCTCTTACTCGTTTGTAGAGAAAGATTAATTCATTTAGACCCTAAAAAATTTCGATTGTCTTATGTGTAATTTTAAGAACACTCAGCTTACTTCTAAATTCCTATATTTTACAAATTGTCACCAAACATAATATAATATTCCAAAGATTCTCTTTGGAACCTAATTTTCTAGTATAATATCTATTATTATATTAGAACTTTTGTTGGTAACCAAACAATAAAAATTTCTGGCTTCTTTTTAATAGTATTCTCAAATTTTGAACGAACCCATTTTCGAATTCTATAAATTAATAAGATTCGAAAACAGTCTTAAACATTTAAATTAACTAGGTCGTTATTTAGATATCTTCATTAAAATCTCGAAGAAAAACCATAAAAAATAGTATAAAAAAAATTAATTATTCCCGATTCTCAGATTCCGTGTAGTGTGTTAGTAACCATTATTAGTAACTCTAATTAATCGAAGTTATTTATTTTTAGCGTTAATGAATGAAAAAGGTTATTGATAATATTATTTGTGAATGGAAATCATTTTTACGTATAACATTACAACAGTGATTGTCAAAATAGTGATACGTACAAAACTGCTCGGCATACTATATTACCCATATAAATTTTAGTTTTATATAACCATTTTTAGAGAATGACATGAATTTTGAATTATTAAAAATCCTGATAATTAAAAAATTCAGAATGATTAAAAATCTCGTGTACAATCTTCATACGAGTAGATTAATTGTAGAAATATAAATATACAAATACTTCATAATACGTATTTAAAGTAACCATTGTTTTTTTTTTAAGTCAAGAGGGTTGTCGAAATATGATTATCTATGATTCGAATACCCGTTACTTCTTATGATCTAGAATAGATTTCTAAATATTGTATATTTCCTGCCAAAATATCAAACCACATTGCACCATAAATGAAGTATTAATTATGTGAGATAAATTATTAAAAAGATTCAATAATCATTAGTACAATTTTTCTACGCTCTTATAATAAAATTTGCGATAAACGTTTAACCGTTAATAAATATTTGCGTATACGCGTATACAGTGTTTATTTTTCACGTATGCAGATCAGGATCCGCACGTGCGCACATTGTAAAAAATAAACACTGCGCGTGTTTATTTCACACGTTTGCAAGTATATAAGGTTCACTTTTTATTTTTCTTTATCGTTATTCTAATACTACACTTTTTCTTCCTTTTCCCTTATCTTTTCCTTTAATATTTTCTATCCGTCTTTTTTTCTTCTTTGATACTACACTTTTTTAATATATATTACCCACTTTTATGGTTGAAAACAGAAAGTTTATGGTATTTTGAATGTACTTAACGTTCTCTGAGAATATTCCAGATAACGTTAATAATATTATAATACTTTCTGTTTGTTTA